ACCTAGATGAAGCATGCGGGGCTGCCTAACTAGGGCGTGAGGGCCGGCGAAGGGTAGAAAGATGATGGGTAAGGGAATCATGCAAACGACTCCTAAAGTGAGGGAGATCGGAGCTAGATTCGTAAGATGGGAAGGGAGGGCAACGCTACGGTCCCGATGCCTATGCGTATACCAAGAGAGAGTCCAACTCAGAGGAACCCGGCTAAAGGGAGACCATCATGCGACACAAGCAGGGTACGGTACAGGGTAAAGTATTAAGAGAGTGGCGACATCTGAAATAGGCAAAGCTGATTGTGACGAAGTCGATGAAGCTGTCGATGACGTCCGCGATGAGAAGTCCGGAATACCGTCGAGAAAGAGCCGCAACGTCGACGAGCTGAAGTAGCAAAACTGGAGTGGATGGAGTACTGGGAAGTCAAAGACGTGGGAAGGTAAGTCGGAGTCAATCGCCGTATCGAGCAGGACGATGACGAGTGCGCTGTAGACGCTCAGAAGCATCCGGCTGCTGCTGAAGGTCTGCCTCAAATGGAGCAGGCTCGACTTCAGCGGTCTCCTCAGTCGGGGGAGAGGGAGGAGGGTCACAACGAGCACGGTCATAGGCACGCACCAACATGCGAGCGTGCTGCAAATGCTCGAGGGGCTTCCGGGTGGCCTCCTCATCAGGGTAACCCTTCCAACGTACGAGGTACTCGAGGTGGGGAGGGTTGTCGTCGATGACTCGGCGACCAATGATGTCTGAAACGAGGAACTCCTCTCGGGCGTCCACCATGATGGGTGGAGGGCGCTCGTATGGTCGTCGAGCGAAACGCTCAGACGGTCTGCGGTAAGGATGCAATAACGAGACGTGGTAGACATCGTGCATACGAGCCTGATGTAGGTAGTCGGGCAGCTTCACGCGGAAGCAGACCGGTCTAGATGTCGTATCATAACCGACGGCCTGGAGGATGCGGCATGGGCCAAAGAATCGACGCCGAAACTTGCGAAACGTGTCCGCTTCGAGCTGTAAGTGTCGGGCGTCGATAAGCACGTCATCACCCACTTTGAATGGATGGTCCATCCTTGATCGGTTCCCACATGTCGCCATGCGAGTCTGGGAAGCGGTTATGTGCTCATGTGCGGTCTTCATGATCGACGTCATGTGTGCAACCCAATCATCCAG